CTCCCCATGGCCAGCCCGCTTCGCTCCGCTGCGGCCCTTGCCCGCCAGGTACCTCGAACCCGGGCGTTTGAGGAAGGGGGGAGGATTGGAACCTGGGTCTCGGTAGCTCGCGGGCCTGACCGGGCGCCTTGTCGCCGTTTCCTGCACCATCCTTCTGCGCCTCGCCCTCCATTCCGCCTGCAGTGAGGCGTCTCCTCTTCCCCCTATCGCTTCCCGAAATCTGGAGTCTCAGCCTGCAATCTCCGCCTCGGCGAGGTTCCCGTTGTCCAGGTCTAACACTCTCATGGGTGACCCCCTCCGGAGTGCGGCGAGGACCGCCACGGGAGACGTGAGGGTAGCCATGGACTCGCTCTGAGGGAGGAGGCGGGAGCTGAATCTCTGGGCTGCCACACAGCCACATCCTACGTGCCTTTGCCACCCCAAAATATTTTGACCGCAGCCTTCTGCCTCCTTGGATCTCTTTCTTCCCCACCCCCACCCCCGTAGTTATTTAGCAGATTGGGCATTAAAACAAATGTTTGCAGGTTTTCCCAATTAGTCCCGCTTCCCTGTGTCTTTATCTTTTAAATTGCCCCCTAATACCGTGAGGTTTGAGGTGTGGGGTGGGTGCTGCAGCATCGGAGGACCCTGCTGGTGGAGAAAATGGTTCACGCCGGTCCCCTTCCCCTTTGCAGGCTTGCTATTGTGCGTCTGTGATTGACAAGACCACGAGGCTGAGCGCGCCCTGGAGATTTTTCTATAAATGGCTTAACACCCCAGTCTAGACTATTTGCTCGGATATAAGGGAGACAATTGTTTTTTTGTTCTTTGCCGGCGAACCCTGGCTCTGTAGGGCTGACCTGGAATGTAACCAGTCTTCCCTGAGCCGGCCGAGGAGGACAAAAACCGCCGCGACCCCGGCAGGGTGGGAAGTGCAGGGCAGCACTCCCAAGACGCGCTTGTTGGAGGTTCGGGCCTGGGTGCTTGGTTGGTTGAGCCTCCTTTTTGTGTTTGCCTGGGTCCTGGAGAGAAGCGCACGGTATCATGGTGAGTGTCATGTAGGTTACCCCGGGCCCCGTTCACCGACCTGCATTTACTTAATGGTGGTTTAATTCTTCTTTCAGGATTGCAGTAACGGATGCTCCGCAGAAGCAAGCATCAGAGAAGGTACGGGAGAAGGAGGATCAAAAGAAGTGGTGGGGACTTTTAAGGTAAGTTGCTTGCTAGGGGCTAAGTGTCTAAAGCAACATTCAACTGAATAAATCCATTTCTTGTTGAGATTTGGGGAAATTTTCACTGTGTGGGTTACCCAGTTCCTAGGTTGTGTTGCCAGACATTTAAAATTCCTCTCTTAGAGGAAGAAAAGCTATTTAGAGAGTGACAGTACATTCATCACAACAAAAATTATCTAATAGCTGATTGCTGATTTTATTTTGAGTCATACATTTTTCTTGAAAAATAGTCAATTCGTAAATATTAACCTAGATGTTTATCTGATTCCATACTAAGTACAACCCTTCACTCTACTTGTAGAAAAAGTTAAACTGTGATTTTTCTCTTTCAGCAGCACATAACACTCTACAGTGAAAGTGTTGCATTTTCTTCTTTTCTATCTGAATTGTGGGGTTTATATAGCTCACACTTCAAATAGTGAGAAACAAATAAAGCACGTTGAAAATTGTACAAAATCAAATGTAAGATATAATATTATTTTTCCTATGAGTCATTATCTCCTATCCTCCCTCCTCGTGGAGGTTTTAGCTTCTTTTTCTGCCTAGTGCTGCTCTTCTGCCTGTTTGAGTCACTGTCAATTGTCATCCATAGCACAGAGTGTCCTAATGATCTCACATCCTGGCGGTTCAGAGAGGGAAGGAAACTTGACTCATCAATTTCTCACACATTCAGCTCTCTCACAGTGTGCTAGAGACTGTGCCATGCATTGGACATCCAAAAGTGAATTCAAGATTAGGTCTCTACTTGCAAGGAATTTTTATTTTATTTTTCTTTCTTTCTTCTCTTGCTGTTATCTTAGCAAGGATATTTTAAAAAGTAAAATTAGAATATTGCAATTTCTTTGCTGTTTTTTTGAGACAGGGTCTCACTCTGTCACCCAGGCTGGAGTGCAGTGGCGCGATCTCAGCTCACTGCAATCTCTGCCTCCCAGGTTCAAGTGATTCTCCTGCCTCAGCCTCCTGAGTAGCTGAGATTACAGGCATGTGCCATCACACCCGGCTAATTTTGTATTTTTAGTAGAGATGGGGTTTTACCATGTTAGCCAGGCTGGTCTCGAACTCCTGGCCTCATGCAATCCACCTGCCTCAAC